GACAACATGGTCCATCCCTTGTCAGATGTCCACTGTGCTCATGCCACAGTGCTCAAGCCCTCCCCCAGAGTGGGAAACTGGCAGTATCCCACTGGATTACTACTGTAATTATTGTCAGTAATCCTGAACAGGGCTGATTTTTTTGTTGGCTCTGGACCCATGCTGCTGCTGGCATGATGGGTGGGACGTACATGGCTTGCAAACCACCACCTGCCTCAGTCACTGAGGACATGACCTCCAGGGAAATCAATGGTAGGCCTGGAAAACCTGAAGCATCTCTGCCTTGAAGCAGGCTTAACTTTTTTCCTTGATCACACCCTGGCTTATGTGTCTCATGCTGGCCAAGCTGCACCATGCTGGATGCCCTTGCAACACAGATTCCGGCAAATAATTCTCTGAACCCTTCCAAGCTCACGTCACTTGCATCAGGGGCCCATCCCAGATGGTTGTGCTACTCTGATGTGCCAGGTGTCTGTGACCAGGTCTCTATGTCCCCTTCTCTGATGTGAGCCTGAGCTCATACTGAAGCCTCTCTGGTTGAGAGAGAGGGCTTCATAGAAGGTCTTCAGAGCTCTTTCTCCAGAAAACTCTATCACTCTGTATAAAATCTATTTGAAAGGGGTCAGTGGGTTAAAATGCTAAAAGAGGGGGAATGATGAGCAAATGCTGCTCTTGTTTAAGTTTTAATGGTCTTAAGAAACCATATATAAAAAAAAGGAGTTGTTTCCAGGAAACGTTTTCCAAAGTCTCAACTTGATTTCCAGTCTCATGAAAGCTGCTCTTTGATAAAGATTGTAATTTAAGAACCCAACAGTCTTCTTTTTTTCTCCAGTTCATTTTAGTGCTATAAATTCAGTGGACGAAGGGAGTGCTTAAAAAGAAAATGTCTGTATTTTCTCATATAAACATATCATTCTTAGGAAGACATTTACTTCTTTGACAAGGGCCTTTCTGTTGGAAAACCGTTGCTTAGCTTTGCCCTGACAGCCCAGGGACAGTAAAACTTGTCAGTGTGGAGAAACTGAGTGGCTCAGCTGGAATGGGATAATGTTCATATTAAGAGGGCAGTTGCGCTTCAAACTCCACTTTGGTGGTGCCAAGCAATCCCCTCCAATTTTCATGACACACACCCCCCCCTTTGGAGCTCTAACCCAGCTGCTGACCTGAGGCACATTTCTTTTCCTAGATGTCACCTTGTTTTTGTTTTCCCCGTCCCCTCTGGATTTCCAGGATGCTTGAACTTATTTCTGATTATGGTATTGCAGATGTGGATGGGCTGGGCTGCATTTTCAGGATCTGATTCAAAGTCCACTGAAGGCAGGAGCAATTTGCTGTTGATATCAGTGGAGCAGGTACTGTGTAAATGCTAATTTTTATTCCAGGCAATTGCAGTTAAAAGGAGTGAAGAAAGTAACCCAGGCCCACTGGCTGCTGAGCAGCCAAAACAAGGATCCTACTTAAACCAGGGTTTTGCACCAGACCCCCCAAAGAAATGAGAGATAACTAACTGTTCACCTCTTGGGAAAATTGAGGCTGTCCTCTTTAAAACAGAGATTTTACCTTCCTTCTTTGTATTTTGGGCTCCAAGCAAATGAAGGGCTGTATAAAGAGAGGGGAGGAAAAGGCAAAACCCAGGAACCTGCAATGCATCCAGTCAGTTGGGAACCTCTGAAAGGTCTGGCCATGGCAGCACAGCCCATACTGGCCTTACCAGCGAGTAGGTACCAGCTGAGGTTGCACCTCCAAGAGAGGGCAGGAGCTTACAGAATTGCTACATCTGTCAGCTGGGAGTATTCCTGGGAGGAGGAGGGGTTGTGAGTTGTTCCTACTTTTTGGAGTAATTTCCTTACTCACAGAGGCCATTGCTTCCACTGTTTCTGCACTGTGCATAGTGCTTACTGCATGTAGGCTGGTGCCAAATCTAGCATGGCAAAGCGTGCAGACCTGCAGATGGGAATGGGGCACTGGGCTACCACCTCGGCTCAAGATCTGACTCACGGCCACATTGTTGTCTTGGAAGGTGGATGACATGAAATGATTCACTGTCACTAACTGTTGGCATTTGATGTGGTTGAGTCCAGCCTGGCAGGTGTAAAAACTGGTGAACTGGTTAAAAGTTTTTGCAAGAGGGGAAATGTTAGGTCTTCTCATTTGCTACTGGATTGTGGACCTCTGGATGCTAGCCAGCTTGTGTGCAATGCTTTTCCCAGCAAACACAAGACTGGTTGGCAGAGTGTGTAACCAGAGGTCAGTTGAGTCTGTGAAGAGCTGACTTTTGCTGCCTCTCAGAGATGCTGCTGGGCCTGTCTTCACTTGGGAAACAGAACTCTTGTGGAAGGCTGGAGGCTCCTGTGGTGGGCACAAAGTGATGGGAGTGTGTTGTCTTCAATCTGGCAACTGTCTGGATGCTTCTGTCATGTGTCCTCCCCATGGTGTAGGATGCTGGTTCCCACTGGGTGACCTGTGGATCCCATACCCTGGGTTTGAGCAGTGTGAGGTTACATGTAAATTTGCTGCTTTTAAGGCTGCTCAGTTTTTGTTTGCTGCCTTTGGAAATCTTTAAGTACGCTTGTAACTACAGGAAGCTCAAGAAGAAACACCAAATGTTCAGTCTCATGACAAAGTCACGAACACCAGAGAGCTGCCAGGGGAGCAGGACCCATTAGCACTTTGGGACTGAAAACATGTATGTATAGGTAACCCTCAGTATGGGGGCCAAGCTGCAAGGAGGAGCTGCCAAGGAAGTGGTGTCCTACTTACAGAGATAGGGGTGGAGTTCTGTTTGTTCCATACCACCCACATCAAACTGGAAGGATGGGGCTTTCAGCAGAAAGTGCTGAAGCACTGGAAGCCAGGAGCTCGTTTCTTTTTTACCTAGGTCGGGAAGGGGCAGACTGCCCCCTTTAACCTGGCAGTGTGTTTTCTTTTTCAGTTGCCCACTGGAGTTGTGGGGAAATTGTAATTATTGCCAGAGCCGGTGAGTGGTAAATGTGGCCAAAGCTGGCAATCTGGAACTGCTGCTGGGCTCATGGGAGGGTCAGAACCACCCTGCAACTGCACTGGCTGGCACCCCCCTCACTGAGGAGCTGCCACAGAGCCATGGCCTTGTGGCCAGCTCTTGGATGTGCCACCGTCCCCGGAGAGAGAGAGAGAGCCCCTACACCCACACTGCTTGCTGCCGCCATGCCACGGTGGGAGAGAGAGCCTGTGCCTGCGCTGCTCTTGTCAGAATCAGCATACTGGCAGTGCAATTCCTAATTCAGATGATACAGCTTCCCAGGTTTTTTGTTTTGCCCCTGTTACCCATGGTTTGTCTGGTCATTAGGAGGGCGTTAAGCCATGGAAACTCGTTTGCCACATTGTTTTCCTTTGTTCTCTCAGCCCACACAACCCGGTGGAGGGGCCCTCTGCCATCTTGCCTTTGTTCCCAGGGGGCCGTGTGGCGTGGTGTACAGGAACATCCGACATCCTGTTTTGCCCTAGAAGGGACCAAGCAATATCTTGCCTTTGTTGGTTAAAGCATTCTCTCTTTTGTACAAATTTCTTTCTCTTGTTGTGTTTATTGCTATTTTCTTCAGTAAATTGTGACTCTAGGTATAATCTCTCTTAGGTTTTTTTTGTGTTCCCCTCCACCATCAAAAGTAGGCAGCTTGAGTGGTCTTAATTTAACCCAAAGAGTTTTTAAAACCACCATAAGTGGCTATTTAATTGGAAAGAATTACAGAGTCATTGGGACCAGATTGTATATTTGACTTTCCTTGGGCTTTATACAAAGGCTGCTAAAAGCTAACATGATTTTCTTTTCCGCCAACTTCCGTGGGCTTTGGATCTGGATCTTTGTGCCTACAGGGTTATCTCAGTTTCCTGGAACTCATTCATTGTTTGAATTTGCTATGTATATTTACTGCCGGGCTGCTTTCTTCTTTAACTCCTGCTGGCTGATTGCAAAAAGTTCCCGGCAGCTGCTGGCTGCAGGAGCAGCATTTCTCTCTCAAAATTGACCATGCACATCCCTGGGTGTCCCCTTCTCCAGCTGGCTCCTTGAAAGTCTTAAAACGTCACAAAATCCACTATTGACTTGCCTCTTGTAAATTATTTGGTGAAGTTAGGGAATATTCGGAAGCATTGGGCACCATTTTTTTTTTTTTTTTTTAATGTCAGACGGTCTTTCACAAAGACATGGGCTCCCTAGAAGTGATGTTTGCTCTGTGTTTACTCCCTATTTCATTTACTTGATCACAGTCAGGCACAGTACCAGATGGAGCATTCCCAGCACTGTCTGCCTGCAGAGGCTGGTGGAGGAACAGGGCTGAGCCACTGGGTTGCCTGAGGGTACTCCTCGTTGGAGCCCTAGCAAACAATGGAGAGCCATCACTGGAGACAGTCCATCCCATTGCATCTCCCAAGAGGTGTTACTTCTTGGTGCCACTTCCAGTCTCCCACCCAGGAGCACAGGTGCTGATGGCTGAGCAATGCCTTGATGATCGTGAGAGTTCCTTCAGTAACGTCTACCGACTTGCAAACAAGTACGTTACTTGCTTTTCCACTTGAACCAGGGCAAGTTGACAAGTGCCTATTCTTGCTTTTTTAGGTGTCGATGGAAATGTAAAACTTTTAGGAAAATGCATCTCATCCAGGAGTTCAAGATAGGCCTTTAAAATACAAATAGGAGCAGAGGCAGCAATACAGACAAGCTTTACATTGAGAACACAGAGTCAAAGTACAGCTTGCAGTGTATATATCCAGGGTCAGGTTGCAGCTTTCCAGTGGTGAGTATGCTGGGTTTATTCTGGGTCAATGGTCTCCCCATCCTCTTCTATTGTGCTCCTGGGACCTCTCACCATTCTAGCACAGGTGACAGCCACTGGGAACTCTACCTGAATCTGAAAGGATTCAGTGGGGGGGCTTTTCAAGACAATTTTGGCACTTATGTCACGTTTAAATGCTTGGATTTTACAACATGTTGTTTATAAGTGATTCCCAGAGCTTAATTACACCGTATGAAGAGATTAATTAACTTTACAAGAGTCACTGTCCCTGGCAGTGGAAATGGGAACCACTTCTGCTGGCTGGGAGGGATCCACACTGCATCTACGGGTCCGGGCACTCAGATCCTGGGAGGTATGAGCACACCAAAGGCCATGCCCGTTGCCAGTGGGACAGCTCTGCTGTGTCACAGTGCTTCAAACTGAGCAGTGTCGTGATGACCTGATTCCCAGCTTTCCCATTCAATCTCCTTTCGCTCCAGTTTTACTTTTAAGGCCTTTGTCAAATACCAAATAACACTGCCCCTTGCCAAGTTAATCACTGGCCAGAAGTCCTCTTTTAGAGTGAACTGCAGGCTTTCCAGTGCTCGTGGTCATTCTGGGAGAGCAGAGCCTAAGTGTGAGTGGCTGGGGACATGCGTCCCCCTCCAAAGCAGATTTTATTTCATCACACCTGAAAACTAAGGTGATAGCACCAAGGTGTCAGGCCAGGTTGGAGTCACTGTTATGTTAGGTGGTGCATGAGTATCCAGGGAACTTAAAACTGAGCAGATGAGCCAGGCAAACAGCAGGGGACGAGCACTGCTACATCCAAGGGGAGAAGTGTTAAGTGTTCTGCAGCTGTCCTTCACAGCTCTCCTTGAAGACACAGGGAGAAGCCTAGAAGTGCATTTTAGGATTTTGAAGTGCCTTCCCACTGCCAGAGTTCAATGCCACTATCACAGGGCTGGCACAAGCAGCCACCCTGGTGTGGCAATTCCATACCAGCCTGATGTGTCATGGAGGGGAACAAGTAAGATACCTCTGGCAAACTGGACCTGAAACTCTCACAATTCCAAGCTCCCCCCTCCATACCCCAAAACTTTCCCCAAGCCCCAAACACATGATGTTTTGGCACCCCAACATGAGCATTCATACTGTGCTGCTGCAGCGAGGTCTGGGGCTTGCTGCTGACTCATGCATTGGTTCAAGCCCTTCACCTGGTGGAAATGTTGGCCTGGCCAGTGGGTGTAATTGTATATGTACTTGGAGAGGTCTTTTTTTTGTGGTGGTTTTTGTTGTTGTTGTTGTTGTTTTTTTGGCTAATATAAAAATCCCTTCTCTGCTAAGAAACAGGATTCTGACTACAAAGCATTGTGTGCAGGCAGCAAGCACAGCTTGTTCTTGGACAGCAATGTGCAGGTACACGGCTTTGGCCTAAGAAGAGTAATTCAGAGTTAGGATTTACCTTGTCATTTTTCAGTGGCACCTCAAACACAGATCTAACACCAAGCCTGAGGTTTCCAGCTAAATTTTTTTGAAGGAAAAGTGCTTAAAAATAATTTTTTAAAATTTTCTTTTCTCTTTTTATTTCTGTTCTTCTTCTTTCTTTGTCTTTTTTTTTTTTCCCTCTTACTTCTTCTTCTTATCATGATCTGCTTTATTGGTGCTGTTATAGAGTCAGTACACCAGTTCAGCTTCTCTGGATAAATAACCATCCTAGGTGTGTCTGGTTTAGAAACCGTTGATACATTTCAGTGCTGATGTGGCAGATCCCAGTTCATGGAATTAACAAAAATGGATTTAACAAAATGCAGGTGGAAGGCTCGTCTGCTTTTGCTACTGCACAGGAGAGAGGAATGAGCAGTAGGGTGGGAGCCATGTAAGCTCAGGTGGTGTTGAGCTCAGAGGGGAAAGGTTTCTGTCCCCCTCATCAGACCAGAAGGATGTTAGGGGCAAAAAGGGCATCTGGGTCCCACAAAGAACCTCTCCCAGACACAGCCAGCACCCAGCCACAGGTACAACCTGCCTCCTGTTACCACAGTTCATTCGCCTGTCCTGCCCAGGCTGCCCTTTTCTGTATTGTGAAAGCTGATGGAGCGCTTGTGTCCTGTGCTGGAGGAGGGGGTCCTGGGACACCTGCCTGCCTTGGGCTTTACTCCAACACAGGAATCTGCTGACTTCCCATCTCCTCTCCAGTGCTGTCTCACAGATCAGTTCCACTCCCAGTGGGTGTCTCTTTGGTGTCTGTGGGCTGGAGAAATATTCAAACAGCAGAAAAACCAGGGGAAAAAATTGCAAGTCAATTTTTTTCCCATAAAAAGCTCCATAAAAATTCGAGTGGTTGAGTGAGAAGAAAATTCCATATTCAAAAGAGGAATTTTTCTGCCTCCGAAAAATATGCCACTTAACAGAGTGTATTTTTTCATATGAACATGGAACATGATTTTTTGGGAGGAGCCACTGTGCATCGACAGGTAGGAATTGTGGGATGATGCCATGCTTGTTGAGGAGTCAGTACATTCAGCTGGGACCCGGGAGATGCCTCCACTGCTGAGAGACTTAGGAGTAGCTGCACTGCTGTGCCTGCATTTCACCTCCTGAAAAGTGCTTGCCGTGGCTTGGTGTGACATACTGGAAACTGACATTAGTGGCATCACCACCTAGATGGAAAAGCCATGTAGAGATGTTATGCCCTGTGGGGTTGTGCTGATGTCCCACCGGGCAGCCCAGGAGAGTGACTTTAGAAAGGTGCTGTTTGCTTTTCCTACTTCTCATCACAGGGCAGAACTCAACGTGAGAGAGACTCTCGCTGTGTGCTGAGGTGATACAGCACTTATAAATAAACACATAAAACCAGATTACCTGTCCAGAGGCAGTGAGTGTCCAGGCAGAAGGCATTACCTCTGTCTGTAGTTCATTTTACCATGGAACAGAAGAAACCCTCTTAAGCTCTTTGCTTTCTCTTGTGCCAATATTTTGCAGTTCCTCCAGGTGGACCCAAGCCTCTGACTGTGAACATGGTACACACTTTCTCCCTGTTGGTTCCTGGCAAAGCCAGCCCAGAGAGTAAGAGGAGCTGATGTGGCAGGGTTATAACTGCTGTGCTTTGAGCTCCCTCTTCCCTTTGGGTCCCTAGTGGCCCTGAGGCTTTGCTGTGCAGCTTTTGTTGTGTGGGAAGCCAGGCCACTGCTGCTGTTCTTCTCGCACAGTGTTCAGGCCCCTCCAAAATGCTTGTTGTGGTCTTCACCCAGCCAAAGCACTGGTGGGCTCTCTGGGTACTTTTCTGGTTTTCATCAACCTCTTTGAAGCTTATGGCCCATTGTTAGATCAGCTGGAGATCAGACAGGCTCTCTCTTCTTATCCCTATGCTTTGTGCAGGTTTCACCAGGTAAAAAGCACCTGCAGAAAGCCAATGCCTCTGCTCTCTGCAAAGGGTGCTCCAGCCAGGGAAGGTGGTGTTACACGAGTTTCATGTTGGAGGTGTGGTGGCAGTAGGCACAAGAGCCTTGTGAACAGCTTTAATCCTGTCCCCAGCTAAGGTGTGTTTCTTCTAAGCCAGAGGTACTTTGTGGCTTTTGATTTAATCCTGCAAGTGCACTCATGTCCTCTACTCATGCTCTGTAGCACTAGCATTCCCAAAATACCTTGCCCTGGGTTTGCTCAAAGCTGAGAGCTGTGTTTGTTCCTGGCTTGTTAGGAGGGCCTTCCTGGGCTGTTTTCAGTTGGATTAGAATTTCCAGATGTTGAATCATGCAATGAGCATGAACCCTGCTAAGATCATACATGGGAAATGAGAAGAGTTCCCTTAATGTAGCCAGTGATTGCCCCATCACAGTCTGTTGGTGGTCGAGCAAAACAAGATGCATGTCCCTGAACTGCTTCAACCCTTCTTGGCAGATTTTTTTTAGGTTTTGATGAAGTTTCTTGTTAAGCCCCATATCCCTGAGTCATGTGAGTTTGTGTCCAGCCAGACTTTTCAAGAGAAGCATGAATTTTTCTGCACCTAAAGCCAGTTTGGGGACAGGAAGAAGAGGACTCTCCTGTATCCAATGTGGATGAAGAGCATCTGGAGGGAAGAGGTCCCAGTGCTTTTTTCCTTGCCCAGATGGAAGTGCCCTTTCTTCCAAGCTGTGTATAGCCCTGGCCCTTCAGACTGGCCACAGGGACACCACAGTGCATGGTGAAGGATTAGTTAATTTCCTTCCCTACTCCTCTGGAAAGTGTTTTGATTAGCATAACCATGGTGTTCCCAAACTAGCTTGTGCTCTTGCTTTGCTCTTAGGCTGGCTTTTCCTGTTACAAGCCTGCTCTGGCACAGTGATAGTTTTCCACTGCAGTATCGCAGCTTACATCAGTATGGATCCAGCCACACTCAGTCTTCCAGCTGCCCTTCCTGACTGACCTTAGGCTGATGCTGAGTCCTGTGCCTGGCACAGCTGCGTGGAAAACTGCAAACACCCCAGGCTTTGTTGCAAGGCCTGGGGGACCGTGGCATGTGCTGGACCAAGACCAGCAGCAAACAGGACAATAGTGCATCTTGCTCCCTGCCATCGTGACAGAGGTCATATTAACTTCTGGCACGGGCTGAGGTGCACAGCTCTGGTATCTCAAGCCATCCTGGCTAAACAGGTCTTAGTCCGTCTTACAAATCCTCTGCTAGTCACTCACCTGCTTCTGTTTTCCTTATGCCAAGAATCATTCTCAACTGAGACAATGCAAAGTTCTGGGAAAGAAAGTGAGAATGTGAAATATTTTCCAAGTGTCAACGGGATAGACACACAAGCACTCAGACTGATTAATCAGGGGCTGCTGATTTCATGGCTCCTGAGTGCCATGGACGGCAACAGTGGCTTGCAGAGTAGGCACGCAACTGAGTAGCTGAAGTTACGTGTTGGCATGTCAAGCCTTATCCATAGAAGATATATCTGGGGGTCTGAAATCAGATGGTTAACGCACCTACAGTGCTGGCTGAGGCACGGGAGGTGGGGTACCTTCACAACCCTCCCTATGTGGAGATAAATCTGTTTAAATTCTCACACAGAACAGGTTTAAAACATCTCCAAAGAGAAATGGAGGAACTGATGAAGCATACAGATATTTGACCTTGCCCCATTACAAAGCTCATGTCATCATGCCTTGAGATTACCCAGAGCAATCTTCCACCAGATTTCAGATGGGCTTACATAGTGGGCACCCAGTTATGGCCAGGAGGGCAGAAAAAGTGTGCCCCAAGAACACGGTGATGTTCTTGATGAGGCCAGTGGGCATTGTGGGAAGTAGCTGGAGCTGGGGAAAAAAGAAAGAGGTTTGCTTCTCAAACCCTTTATCAGCCCATTTAACTCCAAGCTCCTTACCAATGCCATCTACTTCTGTAAATAGTTCAATCACCAGCGGGCCCAAAGATGAAGTCATTGAACTTTTGGCTTCTGGTGACTGCCCGGCTAGTGTTCCTCCTGCCAGCATTTGGGGCATCTCATGAAGCTGAGCTGTAGGGATGGGGGAACAGCAGAGTAGGGGATCTAAGGTGTGAACACCATGACTTTCCTGGGAAAGTGTTATTTTACAAACACCCAGGGCAAAGCCCAGCTGCTCAGACACAGGGATTTAGTGCCTGCTGGGAACTGGGCTGTCCCACTGGTCTCCAGCTGCTAGCCCACCAAAGTGGGGATATCCTGCAGGTCCTGGCTCATATTTCATATTCAGGTGGTAACTTCCAATCCCACATGGAGGTAGATGGAAGGGGAGTTTAGGGGAGGCTGAGCAGGAGGTGTACTGCTCCCGAAGTAAATACAGCTGTGGCATGGTGCATTTTCTAATCCAAGCCTCAGCCATGCCATCGCAGAAACACGGGCAAGGAGGGAGAGCAAGTCTAGAAGCTCCTGCACTGTACTCTGCTGCAGCACCCACCTCTAATTTCATCATTAGCGCAGGGCCACTACTTATTAAACCCAGACAAGCAAGCGCTTGGCAAGCACGCAGCCCGCGAAGGACCACCAGGGAGCCAAGGGGAGGCCAGACATACTGATTTCTGCTTTTATGAAAAAGGAGAGGCTGCTTCCAGAGTCTTCAAAGGGATTGAGTGTGGATGTGGGGCCGCTTGGAAGATCGGCCTGGCTGGCAGGCAATACAGCATCATGTCCATAGCGCAGGCAGCAGCTGCCTCTGGAGCAAAGGACTACTCTATTCTTGTTCCTACTAGTTTCTTGGTGTGTTTCTGTAGCAGTAAGTATTCCATGGTGGGAGTGAGGGGGGGCACGCACCTCCACACCTCCAGAAGGGCTCAGGATCAAAATGTACCACCAGGCCCAGGCAGAGCCGACTACTCTCCTACAAGAAAGCACAAGCCATGCCTGTCTGTGTGCTCAGCCACAGCCTGGATGCAGATCTCATGGGGAATGGGATGAAGCATTTGGATGGCTCCCCAAGTAGGATTTCATGGTCATCTCTGCACAACTGAGCCTGGACCTTCAGAAGGAGCTGGGCTGCAAGGGACCTCAGGGAGCCCTGCAGATCTTGTGGCAGCATTTGTTTGATGACTGCTGTGCAGAGCTAAAAATACTCCAGCTATGGTTATGAATTTAGGATAACTAAAACATCCACTGAAAGATTTGGAACCGTTCCAGGGCTAAACAACAGCTTCTTCACCAACAGCCAAAGACTTGTGGATGCAAAAATAACTAGGAACTGAAAAACTTAAGCTGGAGCAGGTAATTTTCAAACTGAACTAAAAAAAAACTTTATAGCAGTGAAGATGACCATGGAAAATTGCCAGCACTTTGGTTGTTTTAACAACACGGCACACAGACCTCTGGATTTGGGCTGGATACTGCCTCTGGGCAGGAGTTGGGAAAACTAGTATTTAGAGAGAATGCCTTCGTTATGAGGTAAAAGCAAATTACACTGATAATATGTTATCCCAGTGGCCTGGATCAACAGCATAGTGCAAGAATCAGAGGGAAACACCGTGATGGGAGCTATACACTTGATGTCTTAAAAACTGAGGGGAAAGATCCAAGAACAGACCAACTGTGGATGCTGGGAGGAGTGCTGTGGCATGAGTCAGCTTCCAGCCATGTAGGGGTTCTTTGGTAAGCAGAGGGCAAGGAAGGGTTTCAGACATCTGTCTACAGACCTGAAACACAGCTGAGGAAGGAGCAGAGGGAGCCATCCTCTGCGAACATCTGTGCCATGGTAGCAGAGGACACCCAGCATCACAGCTCTATCTACCTGAGGTTTCACTGATTGTGTGCATTTCCCCACACACATGCCCCTTACCCTGTCCTTGCTCTTGTTCCATGCTGAAGCAGACACTCAGTTATTCATTTGGCTGGAGACCGTAAGAGTGAGCCCAGCTCCCCATGCCCCTGGTGCTTGGCTGGTGCAGTGCATGCCAGTCCCTGCCCCTGCAAAAAAATGAAGTAGTGGGTGCTTTGCTAAGAGAGCTCAAAAGAGCCCAGTCCCATGTGTCTCACATCTAGCAGACATGAGAGAACAGCCCTAGTCCCCCAGGATGCTCATGGCAAGGTGGGTGGCTGGGAAGGGAGTCTGGCTGTAGCCAGGGAAACAGGGGCCTGTGGTGCTTAGGACTTCAGTGCTATTCAGCCCCTGCATTTCTCATTCCAAGTGCTTTGGTTTGGAGAAGGTCCTTAATGAGTTTAATGAGCTGATGATCCCAGGTGGACAGGGGCAGAGCTGGATCCCAAACCTTTGCCTGGATGCGTCACAGCAATCATGGGTCTTCCCAGCCCAGGTCCTGAGTGAAGTGCTGAGCCCTGCCCTGCCCTGCCCTGCCTTCTTTGCCTACAGGCCATTGAAAAGCTTGTAGAAAACCCAGAAGAGCCTCCAAGTTCTCCTTAGTGCTAAGAAGTGTTTGTGCCTAATTCAGGTCACACTGCAGAAGCTGTATTAGCATAACTAGTTGAAATGTTTCTCCATTAGCATATTTTTCCACATCAGCCTGCATGAAACAGTAAGTTATTATCCCCTTTGCCATTGTGTCAAGATGTACCAGGCTGCGGGCAGGACCTGCTGCTCTCCCCAGCCTGGCCTCAATAGCATGGCTTGTTGTCTGTGCAAGGGGCGACAATCCGGTGGCAGCTGATGTAAATCCCAGGAACACCGCGGAGAGCAGCCCCGGTTGCCATCTCCTGAGAAGATCTGGCCACTGAAATACAATAATGTGCAGCATCTCCTGAGGATGCCCTCCTCCAACAGTTCAGCCTAATGGTTGGTTCTGATGTGAACGGAGCCCCTTCTAACCCTTACTTTTCAATTTCCAAGGCACTGGAGCATCCAAATCACTTCCAGATAGCTAACTACCTCCAGTGCGAACAGGCACGAGTAATAAATAAACCTTGCGTTTCTTCTGCCCTGCCATGGGAGGTCACAGCCAGACCAGGAGGCACACAGAGGGCATGTATGGAGAGTTCAGCCACCATACTGGGTGGCACTAGCTATCAGGGGCACGGCTTTCTCCCTGTCCTTAGACCTACAAGCTGGTGGACGATGGACCAGTCCTAGCGCTGTTTACCCACACAGCATTTGCAAACCTTGAAAAAAGGTTCCTGCCGGGAGCAGTCATCTTTCAGGTCCAATCTGCTTCATGGTGCCCACACCCAGCCCTTGAGGAGGGTCCCAGCGTGGAGCAGCACCCCTAACCCTTCCTGGGAAGTCCTCGAATTCTCCAACCATCCTCTCCCCGCTACGCCTCACGGATGACGCTGACATCCTCGGAAAAGGCCGGCGGGCAGCCACCGCCTGCACAGACCGGTCCCAGGCAGCTCAGCCCGGGGGCAAAGGTCCGCGGGGCTCCCCGGGTCCGGGGCGCTCGCTATCCCTTCCCCAGCCCGCCTCCTCCCGACGCCCGCTCCAGCCTCCGGTACAGCTCCGCGGCGGGCAGCGGCGAGGGAGAGACGGGGACCCCGAGCCCCCGCCCCGCCCCGCCCCGCCCCGCCACGCTGAGTGGGCCCCGCGGTGCGGAGCGGCGGGGCGGGACGCGGCGATCGAGCCCGGCGAGACAGCGGCGGAAAGTGCCACGACTCCACACGTCCGCGAAAGCGAGGAGGGACCGCGACCCGGCACGGGTGGGTAGGGGCGGCGGCGGCCCTTCCCTCAGCCCCTTCGCCTGCCACTTCTTCCACGACTCCTCTCCGTCTGCCCCGCGCTGCGAGCGGGACCCCCCGCCCGGCGTTTCCCCCTTCCCCGGCAGTCGGCAGACGTGGAGCGGGGTGAGGACCTCCCCCCTCCGACCAGCGGCCCCGCCGCTCCCGGCGCCGAGGGGTGTCCCGCGGGCTAATCGGGGCAGGGAGGAAGGTGGGATCCCGGGCTCGGGGTCCAGCCCCGTTTGCGGAGGGCCGGGCAGATGAATGGCCCGCGGCGTGGCCAGGGCTGCGCGGAATGGCGGCGTGTGCGGCCGGGGAGCGGGGGAGGCGATGTCCGGGCCCCGAGCGCCGCCGGCCCTGCCCCAGCGCCGGCCCGATGACACACATTAATCTGATTAACCGCGGTTACAGAAGGTCACGACGCTCGGGCAGTTGTCTCTTGTTTATTTTTTTTTTCCCTTAACTAAGCCCCCTCAACAGAACTCTCCTGGCACCGGGAAAACCCCGGCAGTGCAGGGTTCCCGAGCTTTCGGAGAGAGGCGTCGACTCCGTAAGTGGAGACCCCCACCCTGGGGTCTTTCCGACCTGGACATCACCAGGCTTCCCCCGGGTCTGCCGATGGAATGTCCCACTCCTCGCCCGCTGGGAAGCAGGCCAGGGGGAGAGCGTGTGCTGAACACGTGGCTGAACGCGACGGAGGAGCTTCCACGCCTGTAATGTCAGCTCTGCCCTTCGCCGAAGCAATCGCAGTGGCCTCTGCTCGCCTGCATCATCGGGAAATGGCTGGATAGAATTGGGGCTACCTGGAAAGTGAGCCACAGGGAGGAGCTGATGAGGGCCAACTGCTTTGGACCGGGGAGGGGAGAGAAAATTTGTAATAGCTGCCGCAGACATTCGTCAAGCTGCAGCTGTGTTATGGTGCTGTTATGCTCCTTATATATATATTATTTTTTTTATTTATATATATATATGTATTTTCTGCCTGTTTTTTCACTCCGAGGCTTAGGAAGGGAGCTGGCAGCTCTGCCAAGCACTGCTGGCAAGCACAAGCCAGCTTGGCAGCTGGCTGCTGCTGCGAGAGCTAATGGAGCACTAAGACACATTCAGTTAAGTTGAGCTATAGCTGTTGATGATTGGCTAATCTGGAGTTGCTGTGTAGAGTAACACATGCTGCCGGGAGGCTGCAAGTGCACAGTCACACAGAAAATGTATTTAAACAGAGTAAATGTATTTAAACAGAGGCTGGGGATGTGGGCAGGATCTGCTCATGGTGTGCAGGCTTTCCTCGTTTGTTTTTAGTTTTGAGTCTATTGCAGTAGGGCAGAGAGAAACTCCAGGAGAAGTATCTGGTGATTGTTTTTTATCTGCTAGCAGTGCTGTTGTTTCTCCTGCTGATGGTCTGGCTTGCTGTTCACAGGATCAGGCCTCCCAGTTCCCTCTTCCTTGCTCTTTCTCTCTTTTTTTTTTTTTTAACCTGCTCGGAGGTGTAGAGGAAAGGGAGCTGCAGGTGCTTAACAGGCAGGTGTTGCTGTGGGCTATGCAGAACCCATCTGCATGAGTCCAATTCTCTCTTTCCCTGCCCTCTGTCCCCCCTTTACCTCTTGTGTATTGCTCTAACCTGAGATGCCACCCTGACACCATGTTGAAGTTCAAGTTTTGGTTTGTTGGGGGAACCGAGTCCTGCTTGCAAGACTTCTGCACCCATCTGCCACACCTGTCAAGACCAGGAGGAGACAACGTAGATTTTCTTCTGGCTATGAAAAGAAATAATGTTTCTGTAGTTACTGTACAACCTGTCTCCTCCTTTGCTCCTGCCCACCTGATGCTTGGCCTGGCTGATTCAGGCCAGGGTTGGTGGAGGGCTGGGTCACAAAGATACCAAATTCCTGTGGATTTCATGTGTGGTTGCAGGGGAGGAAAGACTGAACAGATGGCAAGGTTCTAGCCTGGTTTTTGACTCTTAGCTGTCAGTGACAGATGTGACCACAAGACACTGAGTATGGCCCCGGTGCTGTCATGTCACATGTCTCTGGGTTGGTTCATCCTGGAAATTGTTTGGTGCTCAAAAACCAGCAAGGCCGAGTGCTTTACTGGCTTAGCTTCCTTAAAGCAAATTGGACTTTTGCTCAGGTCAAACAGAGGTGATGGCACATGCAGGGAGGTGAGGGAGGTCAGATCTCTTGGGCTGTTAGCTGGCATGTTGGGAAATTTGATGGATAACAAGCAAAAGGTCCAGGAACAGAAGAGCTGGAGAACAGCATTTCAGCCGGCTCTTGTTACAGGAGAAGGCCAAGTGAAATACCAGTTGTCCAGTGTATTCCTGTCCTTGTGGTGGTGAAAAGCTTTATTGGGGAAGGAACTTGCATATGGAAATATGTGGTGATTTCCACTGTTTTGGCTGGGGAAGGAGTAGAGGATGATTCTGCTCAAGAAGTTTCATGGAGGTATATGTGTTCAATCTTGCACGTGAACTTGATTTTTTGAGGATGGACTCTGATAACTGGTGGTGCCTATGCACCCCTAAGGCACAACCTTCTCCCAGGGCAATCTGGGTGTCAGATTGAAAAATACCATTGTGGGTGCAAAGTCCCTTGGAGGACCAGAAGTTACAGAAGGGAGGATGCTGAAGTCTTTAAACCTCTTCAAAGTGTGGCTGCCAAGCCAAGCATGTGAGACTACCCTTAGGCGTCTGTGAGCAGACAAGCAATGGTATCCTTGCTGCCTTATTTTGCCATGTCCTGGCTAAGGCTCAGTGCAGGCAGGAAGCACGGAGGGCTTTCCTGCTGAAGGGCGAGGCACGTGCACACCTGCCATGGTTCTTGCAAAGAGGACTGCTGTCTTACTGTGCAAATCCAGGAGCAAACTTTCAGCACTTCAAAGGGCGAAAGTGGCAGGGTCAGGAAATGCCAAAGCACAGCTTCACTCCTGATGCTAATGCTGTGACATAAATGCTACTTGCATCTATGCTTCAATAAGTTCCCAGAGGAAGACTTTTCCTTATCCCCCAAATGCCAAGGTCAGTCTGCTTTGATTTAAGTATGTTGTGGTTGTGTACAACCTGCTGCTGTCTTCGCATTCTTGGAGAGATAGGCTCTTCCCTGAACAAGCTGCTGGGCTGGTTGTGTCAAGTCTAAACCACAGGAGGAACTCTACAGGTAGAACTTGCTCCTTGAAGTCAGCACTGGGTCTGCCAGGACCAGCGCCGTGCTGCAGGCTGCAGGGCATGAGTGCTGGGACAGGACCAAAGTTTGCCATGATTGTGCTGCTGAGAGTGATTGCTACCAAGTTGGCATCTCTCACTCTTCACTGTGGATGTTCTCCTGGCACACCTGTCCTTGGGAACAGCACGGGCTTTCTCTGATCCAGAGAAGTGCCCGGTGAGAAACCCCTGTGCCCGGTTTTCTCCCCAGCTAATAGCAGAGGTGGAAAGAGAAGCGCCATATCCAGCACTCCCTTTGCAAGTTTCACTCCTTCCTGCAGAAATCTCTTTGGAAAATGAGATAATTGATGACCATGGTTGACTTTTTTTGTTACCTTGAACTTATGACTTTTATTGGTGGAAATGGTTGTGAGTTGCTCCTGTGTATGGTGTCCATGCACACAGCATTGTTGCTGGGGTGGTTCTCCTCAGTGAGAGCTGGGAGCAGCTACCCAGTGGGACACAGTCGCTGTACATCCTCCCTGCCAGGCTGGACAGAATTCAGCAGAGCCACAGGGTACAGGGGGCGAAGGGAAAAGGAAAGGGCTGCTGCAAAGCTGGAGAAAACTCTCCTGTACGTACTTTCTCCTTTCAGAGGGATATTTTATTCCAAAGCTGAGACCTAAATGTGCGTGTGGGTTCAGTGAGAAAGCCAGGTGCTCCAGGGAAAGCCCAGATCTTGGCCAACCTGCACCAAATAGTCTGAAATGGCTTCTCTTACTGCTGCAGGTGTTGCCTAGGGTCATGCGAAACCATCCCATTGGACATGGAATGAAGCTCATGGCTGTCTCTGATTGCATCCCTGTTTTTTAATTCCCCCTCTTCTATTCTTCAGGAGATTGCTGAAGCTGGTGCAGTTTAGTCACTGGGGTACAAGCAGAATGCTGTGCATGGGCAGTGCAGCAGAGGAGCATGAACTTGGGGGTGTGTGGGCAGGTCGCCCTCAGTTGTGTGAATCTTGAGTATTTGTCTTTTTGGTGCATGGTGCCGTTTGGAGACACAAATGTCCATGTGAGACTCCCTGCTCAGGGAAGCCATTGCATTTCTTTCCTCCCCCTGCCCTACTGCTAGCTGTTGTTCTGGTGTCTTGCAGGCACAGAAGAATAAGGCAGGATGGACGTGTATGACCCTCAGACGCTGGGTGTTGTGGTCTTCGGAGGTTTTATGGTGATATCAGCCATTGGGATCTTCCTGGTGTCCACCTTCTCCATGAAGGAGACGTCTTACGAGGAAGCCTTGGCCAAACAACGCAAAGAGCTTGAGAAGACCCAGCAGCAGAAAATGGAAAAAAAGAAAAAAGAGAAACCTGTTGAGAAAAAAGGAAAAGCAAAGAAAAAGGAAGAGAAACCTAATGGAAAGATCCCAGAGCAGCAGATGACTCAGGAAGTGACAGGCCCTCCCAAGGATGTGGTTCTTGAACCTGCTGTGGTGCTTGAGCCTCTAACAGTTGAATCTCCAGTTGC